CAGATCGGAAGGGCCAGGGCCGGGGGCGAGCGGGTGGCAGCGAGCGTCCCTCTCGGTCCGGACACGGGAGCAAGCGAGCGGAGGAGGGAAGGAAGGCGGCCGTCCCCGAGGTCGTGAGAATGAGCTTTCTGTCCAGCTTCGCCTTGGAAACCTGGGCGCTCCTCCTCCTCCTCTCGGCCCTTCTCGTCCTGTAAGTGTGGGCAGGGAGGGAGGGAGGGAGGCGGCGGGGCGATCTGGGAAGGGAAGGGGGCACCTCTTTCTTTTTTTTTTTAGGGGGGGGAACAATCTCTGGGCAAAGGAAGGCAAGTTTTACGCACGCCGCACAAACTCTGCCCGGCGGCCGGTCGATTGGAAGAGGTGCGGGGTGTATCCAGAAGCCTTGGAAGGATGGACGAGGTGGGGGGGGGGGCAGAGAGGAGCCCAGGACGGGGAGCGAAAATTCAACGGGACGAGGCGGTGGCTTCTTCCTTTCCCCTCCGCCGCTGCTTGACTCGTCCCTCCGGAGCCCTTCGCTTCCTTCCCTTGCAAAATGTTATTTGTGTTGCGAATGATCAGTTGGCCTGGTAGAGAAAGCGAAGGGGAGCCCGGCGTCGCCTCCGGCCGCTGGGAGCTGTCCGAAGGTTTCCCCTCTGCTTCTCCTTCCTTCGTGGCTCCCAAACAGGAGAGAAGTCTGGAAACAGCCCCGGGGATTGATTTCCTGGAGACGCTGCCCTCCCTTTGCCTTGCAGGGAGACAACTCGCAATATCTAAAAGCTTCCCCATAGTCTGGGGGCAGCTGCCGAAAAGGCCCTTTGTCTACAAGCCATGTCTTTTCAGCTACGGAATCTGGCCCTACAATTTCTTTAAGAAGCTGGGGATCCCTGGGCCCCGGCCTCTGCCCTTTGTCGGGACTTTCCTCGAATACCGACATGTAAGTATTTGGGGACAGGAAGACCCTGCGTCCTTCCGAGACGCTTTCGGTGCCCCCTCCGTGGTCAGTGCAAGGACAGGCTTAGATCGTTTCCTGTTGTCTTGCTTTGTGCTTCTCTGACATCTCTTTTTATTATTATTTATTCTTTTAGGGGCTCAATGATTTTGACCTGAAGTGCCATCAGAAGTATGGCACGATCTGGGGGTGAGTAATCACAGAATTTCCCCTGCCCCTAAGAGGGGCAGTTAAAATGTGGTTTGGGGGGGTGTCTGAATATCTCTAAGATGTTACCTTCCCTGATGTCTGTCCACAACAGACGTGCAGAGGCATGTCAGACTACCCAGATGTAGTTTGCGGGGGAAATGGAAATTGATTTGAGAGTGAGGCAACATATATGTAATGCAGGCATTGACTAAGAGGAAGAGGAATTGCTGCACAATTCTATAGGGCTGAGATCAGCGGCCACTCCTTCCAGGCATGATCAGGTCTAGTTCAGACCCTGAAGCCGGAAGCAACGATGGCTTCCCCATTTCACAGACAGAAAGAAAACCTTAAGCATGACTGATGTGATAAATACAATACTTTAATAACTTGAATAGGGAATAAGAGTATTTTGCTATGTATACTACTTGTTATCTCTACTGAATTCTCTGCTGAACTGAAGCCCCAGCCAAATATCCGCTGTTATTCACAAATGAATTCAAGTATTCAAGTAAAAGTATAAAAATATTGCTCCCTTGGACCTTAAGACCCTCCTCTCGGTCCTGTTGTCTTTACAGATGTCTTTGACAGAGACTTGAGACTGGGTCTTCTCGGTGGTTGCCCCCAGGTTATGGCCTGCCTTCCCCTGTGGGGCTAAGCTGGCCCCCTCCCTCCTCTCTTCTCGGTGGCAAGGGAAAACATCTTTATTCCAACAGGCTTTGGGTGTTTAACATCAGATTTCAGCATAACCAATTTTCCTATATTTACTACCAGCATGTCCCTCTAATCTAATCTTCTAATCTAAATGTGTTTACATTGGTTAATTAGTGATTATATTTTATGATGCTTTTCATTTTTGCTTGCTTAATACTTTTACAATTGTTTATAATTTGTTATTCTTTTTCTTGTTTAATTATTTCTGAGGAGCCTGGAGTCCCAGTGCCAGGAGAAAGGAAGCAAATAGATAAACAAATAGATAAATTAACAAAGTTTCTCTTCCTTCTTTGTTGCAACTAGAATCTTTGATGGCTGAAGGTGGCAGATAAGCAAACAAATAGATAAATAGATAGATGGTTAAACAATATTTTTTTTCCTTTTTTTCACTACTAGAATCTTTGATGGCCGACAGCCACTGGTGGCTATTCTGGATCCTTCCATCATCAAAACTATCTTAGTGAAAGAATTTTATACCCATTTCACCAACCGCCGGGTAAGTATCCACTCTGCTTTTTTTTCTGGTAAGATACACTGTAAAAGATTGATGATGATTTCTGCATTATACGAGGGGTAGGACTTGATGGCCTTATAGGCCCCTTCCAACTCTTTTATTCTACGCAAAGATACACAAATACACTCCTTAAGGTCCACCTAGGTAATGCCTAAGTTATACAAAAAAAGAGGATAGAAATTACAGACATAACTCAGTTGTCCGTTATTATTTTCTTTTCTCTCTTGCATTACTAAGGATATTGGTTTGAACGGAGAACTAGGCAAATCTCTAGTTGTGGCCCAAGATGAGCAGTGGAAGAGGATCCGCGCAGTCCTGTCTCCCACCTTCACCAGTGGGAGGCTGAAGGAAGTAAGTCATGAAGGCAATCAGTCTTGGATATCATCCTGCCTAAGGAATATTTTGGCCAGTGTGTTTCATAGATCCTCAGCAAACCTAAAGCAGTTGAACCCCTTTCATTCCCGGGTGAAGGGATGGTACAGTACTACGGGAGGCTGATTGTGAAGCTACTGCAAACCACTTGTTGGTGGTGATGCCGTTTAAAGAATGACATCTCAGGCTTTGATCTGTGTTCCAGATGATGCCTATAATCAACCATTATGGGGAAATCTTGGTCAAGCACGTCCAGAAGAAGGTGGAGAACAATGAATTCATAGACACAAAATCGTGAGTAATCCTAATGGGCTACGGCTGCCTATTATACAGTTGGACCAAATAATGGAGAAGTTTGTGAAGGATCTTGAAGCAAGACCTATTGACATTTTTCGTCCATCTGTTTGCTTTCTGAACTAAGGTTTACTTTTAACAAAAGCACGTGGCATGGACATTTCTGGAGTGTGGCTCTTCAATTGCAGAGAGGGACTGCACAACTCTAAGATTCCCACATGGATGGGGCTGATGAAGGTTGTAGATCAAAACACCTCATGTCCCATTTGGGTTAATAGTTTCCTGAAAATCTGTTTTATTAACGTAGAACTCTGCATGCCAAAAACAAGTGCACAGGAAACTGAGAAACCAAGATATTCTTAAAAATTATGGCATGCATTAGCTAATTTCACTTCCTGGTCCCATGTTACAATAAAGAATGCAAATTATTTATTTGACATTGTTATTCTGCTTTGAAATACAAAACATAATTTCTAGATATGTTTTAAACTAACCAAGACTTATATTCAGTGACACTCCCCAGTGTTGTGCAGTAGCCATAGTGACACAGAAAGCCTGGGATCGGATCCGTGCTCAGCCATGGAAGTTTATTGGAAATGGAAGTGGTAAATGAGTTATATAGCTCATTTACCTTGAAAGCAGTAAGCCTGACATATACAGCACACAACAGCATAATATATTCTATGACAGAAACATATATTGTTTTAAGAAAATAATGGCATATAACAGAAATACATGCTAAAACTTATCAAAGTTTAATTGATGCAAGACCTTTTTTTAATGAGTAGTAATAGTTATTTTTTTCTATGACATAAGTCAAATAAATGCATGGATCACTGATGAAGTATCATCCAGGCATCAAACAGGTATGATAAATTTGGAGGATTCATTTGAGAGATCCTCTTACATGTGCAGGCTAATTCCTTTTGTTTTCCTACTCTCTGGGAAGCTTTCTACCCCATGATTCTGTTGAACTTCTAGTCTGAGTAAATGTCTCTGAAAAATCAAGGTGTCCTTGTTCGTATGGAAGGCTGTTGCTTGAAAAAACGCCACGTGCCCTACAGCATCATTACATGAATTGTATTTGTGTTTTCTTCCTTTCTTTTCTCCAGCATTTTTGGGACCTACAGTTTGGATGTGGTGGCCAGCACTTCCTTCAGCATTGACGTGGACTCCATAAACCACCCCGACGATCCTTTTGTTATAAATCTCAAGAAGCTAATGAAGTTCAGCTTTCTAAACCCGCTAATAATCCTGATATGTACGAAGCCCCCCCCGTGCTAAAACATGTTGATGCCTTTCTCTGTTGCAAAGAAATGTGATGGGGGGTGAAATAGAAAGGTGGTGAATTTTCCTTTATGGATGGCCACTCTATCTGACCAGCTCCAGCCATTCCTTCATGCCCAGTATGGGCCCTCACAAACCTAAGTTATTTATTTATTTAAAGTATTTCTTTACCCCACCTTTCTCATAAAAAAAAACAGGATACGAGGCAGTTTACATCATTAAAAGATGGTATTTAAAGCAGAACACAATTTTGCTTTTTATAGAAGCACAAAAAGCATCAAACAAGCGCCACACTAAAAATATAAGTAACACCAAGACATGTTCAAACCAGTAAGGTACAACCATCTCTTTAAAACTCCACTCACGCAGCCAGTCACACTGAGGGGAAGTTTGCCTGAAGAGAAAGGTCTTTGCTTGCTTGCAGAAGGACAGCCAAAATGGGGCCAGCCTGGCCTCCTGTGGGAGGGAGTTCCACAGTCTGGGAGCAGCCACGGAGAAGGCCCTGTCCTCTATCTCCACCAAGCACACCTGTGAAGGTGACGGGGCTGAGAGAAAGACCTTAACACTCGAGCTGGCTCATAAAGCGAGATGCAGTCCTTGAGGCAAAGAATCCGGGTCCCTCCTTCTGTTTCCCCGATTCTGCCCAGGTTGGAGGAAAACCCCTAGAAGCAAAAATCTTCTCACGTCCCTTGTTTCAAGTTCTCCTTCCAAGAAGGATCTGACTGTTTTCTTACCGTTTCCCTTAGAAAGAGCTGAGTGGGACTTCCTGGTGGGCTTTTCTCCCTCAAAGACCACTTTCGTTTTTCTCATCAGTTGTCTTTCCATCCCTCGCAACACTGCTGGAGAAACTAAAAGTCTCCCTGGCACCTTCCTTATTGAATTTCTTCACATCTGTGGTGAAAAAAATCAAGAACGACCGGCAAAAGAATCAGTCTATGGTCAGTTCAACTCCTTGTGTGGTCTTCTACAGATCCATAGTCAAGATACTGTGGTGCCTCGCTTGGCGACAATAATCCGTTCCAGCAAAATCGCTGTAGAATGAAATTGTCATCAAGCGAAAGTAAAAAGCCCATTGAAATGCATTGAAAACCGCTCAATGCGTTCCAATGGGGAAAATACCTCAGCGTCCAGTGAAGATCCTCCATAGCATGGCCATTTTCCAGTGCTTGTAAAGCAAAAAATCTGCCCTAAACAGAGCGGGGAGCCATTTTGAAAACCAGGCGGCCATTTTGAAAACCCAACGATCAGCTGTTTTGATAGTTGTAAAGCGAAAAATCAGTTCCCAAAAAAGGGAACCGATCATCGTCAAGCGGATTTTCCCTATTTAAACATTGTTTTGTGATCGCTAATGCAATCACAAAAACCTCATCGTTAAGCGATTTCGTCATGGAGCGGGGTAATCGTTAAGCGGGGCACCACTGTAATGTGTTACTAGTTCTTTCTATAAAAGGAAATACATTTTCCGCATCAAGATCAATGGCTCTCAACCATGCTGAGCAGCTTCTTGATTCTTAACTACCTCATTGGCTGTGTTTGCCCTTTTCTGCTAACCACAGAATATTTCTGTTCCCCTGAAGGACCGCGTTGACTTTCTGCAGCTAATGATGGACTCCCAACATTCAGGAGATGTCTCTGATGGGACAGATTCATATAGAGGTAAATATACAGGCCGCAATGGTACAAATCTGTATCAGATAACAATGGAACAAAAATTTCACTCCCCTCTGTTTTTCACCATGCCCATCTGTGACACCACAAAACTGCGAGCCAACAAGGATACATGGCATTACTTAGTGTGGGACAAAGGCATGAGAGAACAACC